AAAAAAAAAAAAAAAAAAACTTTACAAAAAAAAAAAAAGAAACCCAATTAAAAAATGGGCAAAAGAGCTAAGTAGGCAATTCTCTAAGGATGATATACAAATGGCCAACAGTCATATGAAAAAATGCTCAACATCACTTGGCATTCAGGAAATGCAGATCAAAACCACGCTGAGATACCATCTCACCCCAGTTAGGATGGCTAATATCCAAAAGACTGTGAATGATAAATGCTGGCGAGGTTGTGGAGAAAAAGGAACTCTCATACATTGTTGGTGGGACTGCGAAATGGTGCAGCCTCTATGGAAAATGCTACGGAGGTTCCTCAAACAATTGCAGATAGACCTACCATATGACCCAGCTATCCCACTTTGAGAATATACCCAGAGGAATGGAAATCATCAAGTCGAAGGTATACCTGTTTTCCAATGTTGATTGCAGCACTCTTTATGATAGCTAAGAGTTGGGACCAGCCCAAAAGTCCATCATCAGATGAGTGGACATGGGAAATGTGGTACATCTACACAATGGAATACTACTCTGCTATAAAAAAGAATGAAATAACTGCCATTTGCAATAACATGGATGGACCTAGAATTATATTAAGTGAAACAAGTCAGGCACAGAAAGAGAAATATCACATGTTCTCACTTATTTGTGGGAGCTAAAAATAAATAAATAAATACACAAATAAACTGGGGGGAGGGAAGGAAGAAGACACAACAATTACAATTCCTTGAAGTTGATACGACAAGTGAACAGAAAGGACGTTGTTGGGAGGGATGGGGAGAGGGAGGTGGGAGGGAGGTTTTGGTAATGGGCCACAATAATCAACCACATTGTATATTGACAAAATAAAATAAAATTAAAAAAAGAAGATTATTATCATAAGCAAATTTAAAGGATTCTGCAATAACTAAAAGGTAACCACTTGAAGCTCCATCACCTTACTTTTACTTATTCCTTGGGAAAGTTGTAGGAATTATCTTAAAGTAGAGCCCCCGAAAACAAAGCTTAGTTGTGGTTCTGAGCTTGGGTAGAGAAAGAACAACTACTTCTGTTTTTCTTGAGGAGTACCAGTCATTATAGAAACAGAGCACACAGTATTAATACTTACAGATAACGTAGAGATCTCATGTAATCCATTTTCTCCTCCCTTCCTTCCCTCCCACCTATGTTATAGTGATAGCCTGGAGAGCCTGTGCAGTTTATTAGTGCCAGAGACAGGGCAAGAATTTCATCTCCTGATTCAGTCAACTTATATAAATACCAAGCCATTTTTCAGTATTAGCTACATATGTGAAGGCAAAATAGTTGACGGCTGAATGTTATAACCTTTAAAAAAGTTTGCATACTTAGTGGCATTTCATTTGCTCAGATGGAAGTGTGCATTGAATTTTAGGGATGTCCTTAGTGTTTAGTTATTACTCTTGTGCTTCTGTAATATTGTTCAAAGTAGCAAGACATTTTTATTCCACACATCACACCTATGTAGAGCACAGTGAGAGCTTTAACACTTGTATTTTTTAAAGTAATGCCATAGGAGGCAGATAATTCAATATATATCAGTACAAGTTCTTTTTGAAAAAAAGAAGTCTACACAGGCAAAGACACTATGGAAGTGATGTTAGGGCAAAGTTTTCCATCAAATTATCATAGTACAGGCTTACTAATGTGCATTATTTAAATATCCAAGGGAAGCTCTATTTCTTGAGAGCAGGTGTTAGAAGAAAGGAAATTTTAAAAAATATCTATGGTCCTAAACTATGTCAAATGCAGTACAAGTAGTTTCTAGAGCTGACTCAAGCAAAAGGGTTTCATTTGCTTGGGCCTAGGGGGATGGGCAAAAGGTCAACAAGGCTTGACTTGGTTTTGACCTAGAGTGGTTGCTGTGAATACATCTTACTGTTCACCAACCGCACTGAAGATAAACATCCTGTCCCCTCATTAAAGCCAGTTTATGTAAGGCAACAAGGGGCCAGCCAACCAGGTGATTTAGTGGGTGTTAGAAATCATGGAGATTAAACGTCAGTTTCCTAAAGTGTTATGTTAATACCATAAGGATGATGTTAGCACACACCCTGAAATCATACTTACACTCTGAAAGAGATGCCTTGTTGATTATCTCTGTGTCTTCGCATCACTGGTGTGGGATGTATTTCAAATAAGTGGAGAAAGAACAGCGTGGCTTCTAGCTCTGTATTAATTAAAGTGTATTACTTACATACTTATTACATACCTGCTACATACTTATCCTGGAAAATGTCATCTTAGTCTGCCTCCTGACTCCCGACCATGACAGTGACAGCCATTCCACAGTGTGATAATTACTTAGATGTCACTCTGGCTGCTTTGACAGCACTGGTGATGCTTCTCTTTGGCAAAGCTATAAATGTGTATATGGTTAACCTTTGATGTTCTTTGTGCATCTGACAGACTTGAATATGGTATCTGGGCAGCTCAGGTTTTGGGGGGAAGAAATCCAGAAATAGGAAGGTAAAAAGGTAGGCAGTGCTTTTTCCAAATATATTTCTTGGGCCAGTATATAGAAAATGTAGATTTCTTGGCTCCAAGTTGATTGAATCAGAATTTCTGGGGATGGGACCTAGAGTTGGTCATTCTTAATATGCTCTCCAGGTAATTCTGGGGTTGCTGGCTGAAGTTTGAGAACTATTGAGTCAGGATAATTACTTAGTCTTATGGGTGGACCAGAGAGAAGTGGCACCGGAAAACAAAGACATTTGATAAGATTAGCAGTTCTTCATGGCTAAGGGTGGGGTGGGGGATGGTATTGGCCATTTGTATTTCTTTTTATATGAAATGTTTACTTCCTCTTCCTTTTTTTCCATTGTGTTACTGATGTCTTTATTATTGATTTATAAACACTCTTCATATGTAAGAGAAATTAGTCTCTGTCATATGTGTTGGAATTATTTTTTTACTTAATATTTTTCTTTTTTGAGTTTCTTTTGAATGTTACTGATGTCTTTATTATTGATTTATAAACACTCTTCATATGTAAGAGAAATTAGTCTCTATCATATGTGTTGGAATTATTTTTTTACTTAATATTTTTCTTTTTTGAGTTTCTTTTGAATTTTTTTTTTTTGCAATTGAGAATATGTTTTTACATGGAATAGGCTACTATAAACAATTCTGCTTTCTGTGTTAGCTTCCTACTGTTGCTGTAAAAAATTACTACAAAAGTAGTGACTGAAAGCAACATAAGTATGTTATGTCACTGTTCTGGAGGTCGGAAGTCCGAAATGAGTCTTATGGGCTAAGATAAAGGTGTCAGCGGGACTTTAGGGGGGAGAATCTAGAATCTTTCTTTACCTTTTCCAGCTTGCAGAGGTCCCTGTCATTCTTTGGCTCATGACCCATTCCATCAATCACATCATCTCTGCCTCCGTTCTCATCTTTCCTGTCCATCAGTTTTCTTTCACCAACACCAATACCAAAAGCATTGTCAGACTTCTAGATTTTAGCCAGTTTGCAGGATGGGTATTGTGTCTCATTTGCATTTCCTTTTAGTGTTGCATTGAGCATCTTTGCATATGTTTATTGACCATTTGCATTTTTTAAAAAAAATCTACATATTTAAGTGAAAAGCATGTTAAAGTTTTTTTCCCCTATTTTTTAATTGTACTGTTCTCTTTGTTTAAAGTTTTTTTAGTTCTCTGCATTATGCATATCTATGTGTCATTTGTTGGTTACATGCATTACAAATATTTTTAATCCATTCTGTGGCTTGTTCTTTAAATTTTTAAATGGTATCTTATAATGAGTAGAAATTCTTAATTTAAAAATCATTTATCAATCCTTTCTTTTATGGTTAGTGCTCTTTTATCTTGCTTAAGAAAGCTTTTTGTGTACCTATAATATATTACATATAAGCCTGTAAATCACCTGGAGTGATTTTTGCAAATGGTATAGGATTGAGTTGTTTTTTACATGAATAGCTTACTGTTCCAGCACATTCCTTGAAAACAGTATGCTTTCCGCACTGCTCTGCAGTACTAGCTATATAAATCTAAATGTGTGAATAAAATAAATTATATACAAATAAAATGTAAATAAAATAGTAAAATATGAATAAAAACAAAAATTTCATAAAGTGGGTATCTTTTTCTCTCTCTTTTTTTCTTTTGCTGATTTGTTTATTCTTGTGTCAGTGCTAAGTCATTTTAATTACATAGCTTTGCAGTAAATCCTGATATCTGATAGAGAACGTTCTCCCACTTTGTTCAGTTCAAGAGTGTTTTGGCTATTCTTGGCCAATTGCATTTCTTGTGCGTTTAGAATCAGCTAGCTGTTTCACAGACTGGGATTTTGATTAGGATTGCATAATATGCTTAAATAAATTGAGAAGAATTTTCAAATTAAATTTTGAGTCATTTATTGGAATATGCAAACAAAGAACATCTCTTTTTTCAGTAATATGCTTAAATAAATTGAGAAGAATTTTCAAATTAAATTTTGAGTCATTTATTGGAATACGCAAACAAAGAACATCTCTTTTTTCAGTTTTATTTTATTTTTTTTCCTTTTTGTCTTTTTTCGTGTCCGGCAATGGATCGCAACCCTCAGTGTCGCGCCCGTACCGGGCTGGGACCGGTAACGGGATCGCAACCCTCGGTGTTGCGCCCACACCTTGCTCAGCCAGTGAGCGGGAACCGGTCTGTATGTGGGATCCGAACCCTCGGCAGGAGCGCCACCGTGCTCCCAAGCGGCGCACTGTAGCAGTGCGCCACCGGGCCGGCCCTTTTCAGTTTTATTTAATACAATTTTAATATGTTTTACTGTTAAAGTTTTTATAGAGACCTCTTTCATGCTTATTCCTTGATATTTGAGATTTCTTTGATGTTAGTACAAATAACATTTTCTTTAATTACATTTCTTGCATATAGCGATACAATTGATTTTGGCCTTCTGATTTTTATATTCAGTAATTTTGTTAAACCCATACTTTTAACTTGAATGATACATCTGAAGATTCTTTTGATGTTTAACTACATAATCATTTAGTCTGGCAATGATGATAGTTTTCTTTTTTTCTTTCTTTCTTTCCAATCCCTATAACCTTTCCCCCTACTTTTTGTGCCATTAGTACTACATTAAAGAGTATGTGATACAGCATCATTTTTATTTCTTTATTTCAAAAAGAAAGCATTTAATATGGTGCCATTAAGTATACTATCTGTTTTCTGAATTTCAAAGATATTTTATGTAAGGTTAAGGAAATCTTCTATTCATAATTTGCTAAGAATGTTTATCATGAACACATGCTGCATTAAGCAATCATGTTCTATATATATTGAGAAGATTATACAATTTTTCTTACTAACTCTGTTACTACGTGTATTACATTAATTGAGTTTTCTAATGTTATCCTAATATTGTACTTTCTGTTATAAACCCAGATTTGGTCACCATTATTTCTGATATATTTCTGGATTTAGTTTATGACTGTTCTGTTTAGGAAGTTTCCATCCATGTTATTTTCCTTTCTTAAACTAATCTTGTTGGATTTTTGTTATCAGGGTTATTCTAGCCTTGTGAACTGGGTATGTGCTATCTTATTCTCTTATCTAGAAGAGATGTGTAAGATTAAAATAATTTTTTTCTCTGGCCGACCCCATGGCTCACTCGGGAGAGTGCAGTGCTGGGAGTACAGTGCTCCCACCGCGGGTTTGGATCCTATATAGGGGTGGCCGGTGCGCTCAATGGCTGAGCGCGGTGCAGGTGACACCAAGCCAAGGGTTGCGATCCCCTTACCGGTCACAAAAAAGAAAAAAAAATAATTTTTTTTCTTGAAAGTTTGGTTCTGGAGACAGTTTCGGTAAATTGTATTTTTTTCTATGAATTTGTTTACTTCACCTAAATTTTTTAATTGGTTGCCAAGAAGTTGTTTCTAATATCCTTTTATTATTTTCTTAATATTTGTGGAATCTACAGCTATGTCCTATTTTTAAAATCTCTGGTATTTTTTATTTATGCTTTCTTTTTTTGATCAGTCTCACCATCTATGTGAATTTTTTCAGATTTGTAGTTGTTTATAGTTATATGCCTGACCATTTTAATATCTATATTCTTTTTAGGTCTCCTTCTGCTTTTTGTTGTTTCTGCTGGTTTTTACTCCTGAAGTGAAGTCGAATCGGTCCCTGGGTTACATGGATTGTGCTGTCATAGTCCTTTCCTCTTGCCTCTAAATCCTGCCCTATACCCAGAAATTTCTATAGGGCTTAGTTACAGAAAATGAAGGTGATACCTTTAGGGAGATTGATCTTCAGCTTTCCCTCCTCTGCTAATCAGTGATGTGAAACTGGTTTCCCATAAGAATGTTCTCTGATAATTTTATAGTTTGCTTACATCTCTAGATTTTGAAGGATGTGTTACTTAATTTTAGAAAAATCTTTACTCTTTTCTTGTCTATTTGGGCTGCTATCATAAAATATCAAAGGCGGGGTAGCTCGTATGGACAATGGAAACTTATTTCTCACAGTTCTGGAGTCCGAGATTAAGGCACCAGCATTTTATGTGTTTGGTGAGGTCCCACTTCCTGGCTCACAGATGGCTTCTTCTCACTGTATCGTCACATGGTGAAAGGGGTGACTGAATTCCCTCGGGTCTGTTTTATAAGGGCACTGATCCCCTTCATGAGGGTTCTGCCCTCATGACTAATCATCTTGCAGAGATCCCATCTCTGAAAACCATCACCTTGGGGTTAAGATTTCAACCTATGAAGTTTTGAATTTGGGGGGGACACAAACATCCAGACATGAGCAACTCTGAAAGAGACCTGGAGAAATATTCACTTGCTCTAGATCTTCCTAGTTTTGACACAAATTTTAATATACTTAGCAAACATTCTTTGTGTTATGTGTGTGTTTTGGGCAGAAGGGATGGTAACTGCTTTAAAATTCTCATTAAAGATGGGTTATTTCCGGGGCCGGCCCAGTGGCATGTGTTTTGGGCAGAAGGGATGGTAACTGCTTTAAAATTCTCATTAAAGATGGGTTATTTCCTATCTTTATTCTATATAATTGCTTTATTTGTTTCCATAGATCCAAGTAGAGTAAAAATATCTCCACTCTGCCATCATTTACTAAAAGTCCCTAATGTCTTTATTTTTATCATCTTTGTTAGTTTTTATTGTGTAGTAGTTACAATATATTTTTATTTTCTTAGATCATTCCTAATTATGGTTTCTAGTTTGTCAATAGTCATACAATTATATTCTGTACCTATAGCTAAGGTAAATGAGCTATGCCACTGTGGTATATTGAAACATATAAAGATTTAGATCTGGTTCGAATTTCAGGAGTTGTGCTATCTTGGTTTGTTTGTATGAGTGAATTAATTAAGCTCTCTACAATTTCCTCATCTATTTTCCTGTCTGGCAGATTTTGGAAGATTAAATTGGGGAGGATAATATAAAGAAACTAGCATGCAGTACAACTCTTTGAGTGGTATTCTTCCTTTCAAAATTTCTAGAGGAGTGCTTATATCTTTAACATATTTGCTATTTATTAAAACTTACAGTATTAGGTACAGATCTAAGTTATTTCTCTATACGTTAATATCTAATTTTTAGTGGTAAACATTAAATATAATTTTTCTATTTTGTTTGCTACTCTAGTTCATAACATACAATGGCTGACAGTTTTTTACCCGTATTTGAAATTTTATTCTTTCATTGGTTTTCAATCTCTATTTTGATTTTAATGACTTTTTAAATACATTATACATCTTTTAAAAATCTGGTTATTATCCTTTCTTCACAAACAATAATGTTGTTGTAGAAGAAAGGCTTTTAGGCTGTTAATGATGAGTGTTGCAAAAAGAAGCCCAGCCAGAAGGCTCCTAAGGTTTTCCCAAGGAGGACTGAGCTCATCTAATCATGGGACCTATTAATTACCTCACTTGGCTTCCCTTCCCCCATTGCAAGGTTTATATTCACGTTTTTCAGGCTCACATTAATTTTGTCCTTATACTGAAAGCAGGTTAATTTTCTTGGTGATAAATTCTCAATAATCTAGTTTATAGAAGATGATGTATAAAGCAGAATACTGATCTATTAATTTGCAGTAATAACTTTTTCCATGGGGAATGACTATAAAGTTCATATCCTCTCTGCCACGGATACCCTTTACTTGCCCTAGCAATCAAGGTTGTAGTCCCAAAGTTACTTATTGGTCATGAATAGAGAGCAAAGATGGATAGACATTTTGACATACCCTTCATTCAAGCAGCACAAGTATATAGTAAAACATTATCACCCCAAGAGAGGGAACACCTCTTTTTATTCTCTAGAGAACACCATGTTAAAAAGGCTCATTACCTTTGCATATATTTAATTTCTTCTGTTAGGTGATTTTTATATTTTGTTTTTATTTGTCAGTCTCACAGAGTTCTGGGAGCACATTACT